TCATTAAACAAATTTATCACTTCTTCAAAATTAACGGTAACCGAAACATATTGGAATTTCTGTGCCATCATAAACCAATCTATAATGTCTAATTTTCTTTCTAAATAACTTTGACATTTTTTTAAAAACTAACTACACGATTGTTTATCCTGAAAGACAAACCGGGGTTGATATTTAGTGTCGAAAAAGTTTCTGATTTGTAACTTATGGCGAGATTAATGAAATGCAAGAAAAATATTTAAAATCGTTTCAAGATAAAACTTTGATATCAGTCCTAGTCTTACGCTATGTGAAAAAAAAAAGTTATTTTTCTTAAACAGAATACCTGTGATTTAGAAGTCATCATTTTTCTTAAAAACGAATTTGTTATAATCCTTGCTATGCCCGTGATTAAACTACAGTAGTCAGTACTTTTTTCGTGAACTGTTTGTTTTTAATTTTGCGCAGTTATACGAGGGCTATCTGCATTAGCCGTCCCTAATTTAGCAGTGTAAGACGAGTAGGGAAATCAGCTAGTCATCACCACCCACCGCCAACTCTTGGGCTACTCTTTTACCAACGAATAGTGGGATTGACCGTCACATTATAACGCCTCCACGGCTGAAATGGCGAGCATGTTTGGTGTGGTGGGGATTTGAACCCGCGACCCTCAGATTGCGAGTCGTTTTGACAAGTTAACTTTACCCTAAAAAAATCACATGTTTACTAAATTATTAAACTCTGACTTTAATTTTGAAGAGTGAGTATCTATTGAAGACAAACATCCGCAAGGTTTGCTCCACGTTCTTTCAATCGATAAAACACTGATCGCAATTTGTTCCTTAGAAACAAAATACTTGACGCAAGAAACATTAATTAATATCAGTTCCGATCACAGAGAAGTTAAAACACGCAAATCAATCCGCTAACGAACATAGCTAATTAAACATATCATTAACGTTACTTTAGGTAGTACGTTGAGAACTGAGCGTGATCCATTGTTGAGTGTGCTGGATTGTGGAGCTGAAGTTTCGTTGTTCGTGTCCCGTTATCGCTATATATATATAGCGTTCTGCACTTTAGAGCCGTGGGTACGTTATGAGAGTGACAATCAACTTCCACTATTTGCTCTAACAAGAAAAGCCCGAGAGTTTGTGGGTGGTGTTAGCAGCTGCTTTCTCTCTAGTTTATTACTTTAAAATTCGAAACGACCAGCCGCAGCTAACAGTCGTGTAAATTTATGCAAAATCCAACAAACAAATAAACATTAACTTCTATCTTCATGGTATTTACTTGGAGAACAAAGCGGCACGTTCCATGTCACTAGTAACCATCACAGTGTGGTAGTCACTAGTAACCATCACAGTGTGGTAGTCACTAGTAACCATCACAGTGTGGTAGTCGCTAGTAACTATCGCAGTGTGGTAGTCACTAGTAACCATCACAGTGTGGTAGTCACTAGTAACCATCACAGTGTGGTAGTCACTAGTAACCATCATAGTGTGGTAGTCACTAGTAACTATCGCAGTGTGGTAGTCACTAGTAACCATCACAGTGTGGTAGTCGCTAGTAACCATCACAGTGTGGTAGTCACTAGTAACGATCGCAGTGTGGTAGTCACTAGTAACCATCACAGTGTGTAGTCACTAGTAA